CGGAATGTGGAAAAAATGCATTTTATCATATCCCAGGCAATGATGAAGTACTACCATGATGGCCGCAGTCGATACGCAATGGCACGACATGTTGCCCTGGCGTCTCGGATTATCAAGTCTCGTGTCGTAGAGAGACTTGAATATAGAAAGATCTTATGGGATGCGGCGCAAACCGCTGCGCAATCGGGTGCGCGTCCAACAGCGCTTTGGTACTTCCGGCACTGCATCACTTTCCTTCAAGACAATCCTTGGGATGACAATAACGCTGATGTGTACTACCGGGAGACTTTGCGTCTGCATATTGCTACGGCTGAAATGTCATGGTCTCAAGGCCATAACACGGAAGCTTTGGACCTGCTAGATAAAGTCTTCGAACATGGAAAGAGTGCCGTCTGCAAATCAAGAGCTTGGATAGTGAAGGCCAAGATCTACGCTCAGATGGGTAACCACCTCCGTTCGATGGATTCACTCCTTACGTGTCTGGAAGAGCTTGGTGTGCATCTACGAGAGCCTACGACCTACGATGAATGCGATGATGCCTACCGTAATCTTCGCGCGTACCTCGAGCAAGCGGACTTGGAAGCTATTGTCCGTAAGCCCGTCAGCAAGGATGTCGACATGATCACTATTGGAGAGGTCATGGCTGAGGCGATGGCTGTCACGTACTGGGATGATGCACTAACATTCTACCGGATGGCCATCGAGATGATGAACCTACATCTCTTCAAAGGCGGGTTTGTGCAAATTTCCATCGGCTGTTCGCACCTCGCGATGATATCGTTCAGCCGATTCAGGGACCTAGAGCTCGCCGTGAGGCTGAGCGATTTCGCGCTCACCCTCCTTGAGCGGTGTCCTGAACAGTGGACTCAAAGCCGGGGCTCTATTGTACATAACCTTTACGTCGGCCACTTGCGCGTTCCGCTGTCCTCGACACTCCCAAATCTCGAGGCCTCTGTGGAAACATCCTTCTCGATGGGCGATCCATACATCACCTTAATCAGTTTGTCTTCGATGGCGATGACAAGACTATATCTGGGCCATGACATGGCGCAGGTGGAGGCGTTCTGCAACGAAAGCCCAGAAGATATTCCCGACTGGGTCAATGATACTCGTGGTGGTGCTAGTCTGCTTGCAGTAAGGTAAGGACGTCTTGGATACCTTCGGAAGGGAAGAAAATGTCACCTGCTAATATGTTTTCCTGCAGACAAGTTGCGCGTGCTTTGCAAGGTAAAACGGCCTGTCGTTCTCCTGATACTATTATGTCCGACGAGCACCATCACACGAACGAGTACATCGCTTTCCTGGACAACAATGCCAGCAACGCCGATCGCCCGCGAGACATTTACTGGGGTCTTGCAATGATTCCGCTATTCGCATACGGACATCATACTAAGGCTATACAGCTGGGTATGCAGATGATGGAGACTATGCCTAGGCTGTGGTCTGCTCGTGTTTCATACGTAGTCTACTTCTATCTCGCCCTTTCTCTTTTGACTCTCCACAACGAGTACCCTGCTCGCGGGTATCTTGATGGAAGTCTGCATACGGTCTTGAAGTATAAAGCTGAAGTGGATTTCGCTCGCAGTGCTTGCGATGCCAATTATGGAATGTGGTCCTTGATATTGGAGGCACTAATATGCGAAGTCCGGAATGACCATACTTCTGCAATTCAATCTTTCGAAGTAAGTCGCAGAATTGCTCTGAATATTTTGTGGAGGGTATCTAACCAAGCCAGGCTGCAATCGATCATTGTCAAATCCATGGGTGGCCCTTGGAGGAAGCTCTTGCTCTAGAACTGCATGGTATGTACACCGACGTCCCGAACCGCAGTGCTTTTGGGGAGGGGTTACCCCCACGTCTTGGCCCAAATTAACTTTCGAATAGGAGAGTTCCTGATCCGTCGCGGTGCCAAAAGGGCGGCGCGTTCTGTCATGCAAGACGCAATTGCCGCATGGGCCGCGATAAGCGCCGTGGGCAAGGCGGCGCAGCTGACCGAGAAGCATGAATGGCTATTGAAAACCGCCACATCCTCGAGGAACGTTGACGCTGGCTGTCAAACCGTGGACTCGCTGCTCGGAATCAATCGCAATACCGGCCAAGAACACATGGGAGTAGCACAAAATATGGAAGAAGATGATAGAAAACAACGCTGGATAGAACAAAATGGCGTGACTACGGGTGAGCGTTCATTCGACATATCTGGCGTCGGCCTTGGTAAGCTACAGCGCTTCACTCCCTTATTCTGAGCCGTTCTAATATGAAACAGATATTATCGACTTATCAAGCATCCTCGAATCTAGTCAAGTGATGTCCTCGGAGCTTCAGATCGACAAACTTTTGACGAAGATGATTGAAATCGTTCTGGAATCCTGCAATGGCTCAGACTCTGCGGTCATTGCGACCAATTTTGATAATAACTTCACGGTCGCTGCGGCTGGGGACCTGGAGAAAGGACAGAAGTCTTTCGTGGATGGCCTTCCGTTCTCCGAAATCGAGGATAAGATGGCGCATCAGATCTCTCACTACGTCATGCGCACTAGGGAGGAAGTTCTGGTTCACAACGTTTTGGAGGATGAGCGTTTCTCGAACGTCAATGAGGGCTACCAAGCCAGGTATCCCCTTGGGCGGTCCGTGATCGCATTGCCTATTATGCAGGCCGAGCATCTGCTCGGTGTCATTCATATTGAAGGCAAACCGAATTCATTCACCCAGCGGAACGTTGTGGTTCTCCACTTGCTTTGCAACCAGATTGGTATCTCGCTTTCCAATGCGTTGCTCTTCCGCGAAGTGCGCAAGGTCAGCGCTACCAACGCTTCTATGGTGGAGGCTCAAAAGCGCGCACTTGCCCAGGCTCGCGAGGCGGAGCAGAAGGCTAAAGTGGCCGAGGCTGAAGCAAAGCATAACGTGAAGCTGAAAGAAGATGCAGCAAAGGCGAAGTCCATCTTCTTGGCTAACATCTCTCACGATCTGCGCACACCGATGAATGGCGTTATTGGTTTGTCGGAACTCCTCAAGGGTACCAAGCTGGACAGAGAGCAGGACGAATATGTGGAATCTATCCGTGTCTGCGCTGACACGCTGCTCACACTCATCAACGATATCCTTGACTTCTCCAAGTTGGAGGCAGGCAAGATGAAGATCTCTACCGTACCCCTCAACATTCGGGAAACAATCTCGGAGGTGGTTCGCGCACTTCGCTATACGCATCGCGATCGTGGTTTGGAGACCATCGAGGATCTGGACAAAGTCCCACCTGAGCTTGTGGTCCTCGGAGACCCTGTTCGCTTGCATCAGATCTTCATGAATCTTCTTAGTAACAGTTACAAGTTCACTCCCAAGGGATCTGTGACTGTGAGAGCCAAAGTTTCCAGGGAAGGCAAGGGTCGTGTCCGTTTAGAGTGCTCTGTATCCGACACAGGTATTGGAATCTCAGAAGAACAAAAGTCCCGGCTGTTCCGGCCATTTTCGCAAGCCGATAACTCCACGGCGCGGTCATATGGCGGTAGTGGGCTTGGATTGAGTATCTGCAAGGCAATTATTGAGGACGTCCTAGGCGGTGCTATTTGGCTGGATTCGACCTCAGGCGTTGGAACTACGGTGACGTTCCATCTGGCATTCAACAAGGTGAAAGACGCTGCCGCTAAAGCTGCCAAAAACAAGGCTGCCAATCAGGCGGAGAACAAAGCTCCGGTTCCTACTGCTCGAGACTTGACCATGGTGCCCCGGGATCAGATTCGAGTCTGTATCGCTGAAGACAATCCTATTAACCAGAAGATTGCGGTCAAATTCGTCAAGGGGCTCAATCTCCAGTGCGAAGCGTACAGTGATGGGCGGCAGGCAGTTGAAGCTCTCCGAACAAGATCTCGTGAAGGCAACCCGTTCCATGTGGTCCTGATGGATGTACAAATGCCGACTCTCGACGGCTACAATGCCACTCGCGAGATCCGAAAAGACCCAGATCCCAATGTCAACGAAGTGTTGGTCATAGCCATGACGGCGAGTGCCATCGAAGGAGATCGCGAGAAGTGCCTTGGTGCCGGAATGAACAACTACCTTCCCAAGCCGGTTCGATCTACTATCTTGAGTGAGATGCTTGACCAATACCTTGCACCAGTGCCAGCATACACAAGGACGCGGCTGGTGAACCGGGAACGAGGAAGTGTAAGCACTGAGGCAGGGACACCACGGAGCAACTCCATGTCGCCTAATATTGACGGCCAAGCCACCGCTCTGACGCCTGAAGAAGATAAGCAACTGCAAGAGCGGCAACCTATAGAAAATTAGCGTCGTGGTGACTCCTTCTAACCTCTACGATGGCAAGCTTTTGCCATTCCTCTGAGTCAGCACTGACCCTAGACGATTGCTTCCGTCAGTGACTCACCTGTGATACCCTGCATATTCTGAGCGATTCTCTATCAATGTTGCTGCGCTGCTCATTCTAGATTGTACTTTGCGAGTTATACCTTGAAAAGCAAACGGGCTGAGCATCGTTCCGTGTCTTGCTGGTTCACGTCCTTTCAGTTCTAAGCGATGATGATGAAGCATATGATTGATGATACCAGCAGTGGAGGCTCCATTCCCGGTCTCTTGCATTTAGGTTACCCTCGTCTGTCCGATGTACTCGTGCTTCATGCTTTCTTTTGTTCTTCACTCTTTCTGTTCTGCAGACCGACGCAGTACCAGGTTTATCGAAGACAATGATGTTTATCATGCGTGTGTTGATTAAAATGATGTCTCCTTCGGCGTTGTTTCTGTCTATCATATATATCTCTGGCTCGCGTGCACTTTGCTATCTGTATGTCTTGGTGATACCGTGATTTTTTCCATCTCCTTTCAGTTTGAGTCTACGAGGGGATGAAGAATACCAGGGTCTGGCGTTTTGGATGATTTAGAGATTTATGTCATGGTGCAAGAATTGCAGTTTTCAAGATTTATTTAGCATGATGTTCATTCTTGGTGATCCTAGTAACTAAGCACCCATTTTACATCTCACATTATATCTAAGCAGCAACAGCCTTACGCTTTCCAAACACCCTGAACCGCTTAACACCTCCATCCGGCACCAACGTCAACTTAGCATGCGTAAACGCCCTCGTATCCTCCCCACCAGCCGCCAAATCCTGACCCTCAAAGACATGTTCCGTATCCGCCCGACAAGGCCTATCGCCCTTCACCAACTCGACCCAACCGGGATGATCATGCTTCGGCTCCTCCCCATCCTTAACACTCCCCTCCACCAGCCCATGCACGCGCACCTCCCTAGGGAAATTACCCCTAAAATCCTTCGTATCCACCACCACCCGACTCACACTCCCCACCAACCCCAACTTCACAATGGCCCAATCAACATGACCCTTCGCCCTCGACCTCGCCGTCTCCCATCCATCCCCCATATCCTTACCCCGACCGGGCAACAACAAATTCGAACACGGAGTGAAATGCTGATCCGACGCCGCAAGCGCCACACCGCCCACCAACGCAGAGCTCAATTCCTCTTCACCTCCCTCAACCTTAACATCCCCCGGAATGGCCTTCCCATACACCCTCAACCGCCCAAACCCACCATCGGGGTACATCAGCAGCCGCACATGCGTAAACGCCTTGCCATGCACCTCGGGATCCAGCTTCCACGCACGCCGCTGCGACGGCCCGCATTCCACGGGCGGGAGAATCGTCGTCCAGTTCGCGTACTTCTCGTCCGCGACTTCAGAATCCGGCGTGTTGGGCGCGTAGGTTGCTTGCAGGGAGGCCTTCTCACCGTAGTTGCCGATGAAGTACCCCGTGTTGACTTCGACGCCGTAGATGTGCGCGCTGGACACGCCCAGCTTGATCACGGCCCAGTCGTAGGGGGCTGGGTTGTGACGGCGGGTTTCCCATCCGTCGTACCAGGCTCCGGTGTGGACGAAGACGCCCGGGCGGTTGATGGGTGGTGTGGGGGTGAGGAGGTTGGAGGCGGCGGCGAAGTATTCGTTGGAGCAGGAGAGGATGGTGCTGTTCAGGGCGGAGGAGGCGAGGTTGGTGGTGTGTGCGAAGGTGGAGTCGATTTGGTCGGCGGGGATGTAATCTTGAGAGGACATGTTGACGACTTTCTTGTGATTATGGTAAAATTATTTGTTTATGATGGTATTTGGGAGAAGAAGTAATTTGAAAGAGGGGTGGTTATGAGGAAAGAAAGAGAGAGGTGTAGAGGGGGAATATATGAGGTTTAAGTAGAATCAAGTATGTGAGTTGATAAGAGTTTCTGCCCCGCCGATTACTCGATCTTATCGCTTCATCCGCAATTTCCCCCCCCCTCATTCTTTCTCTTCTATCTACTCTTTCTACTATCATCCTATAGTATTCTACTCTATTATTATTTACATACCCCCTTCTCCCTTCCCTTCCCACATTTCTCCTCTAACTACCCTATCCACCAATATCATCATTATCCTCAACCCAACCCAACTCAATCCAATTCACACATCCACCACATCATCTACACACTCTACATTCCTCTGTTAGCATCCGGTTCCCCCCAATTCCAACCCCACCAGAACCAAAGTAAACCAAAACTCCACATCCTCCGGGTCGGAGCTCTCCGACACCCCCTCGTCGCCCTCTTCCGACTACCACATCACCTTATAATCCCCAACCTTTTATGTAACAGCCGAGGGCATTACAATTCAATTCGTTCATCATCATCATTCTCTAGTTAGTTCACTCAGCACCTAGTTAGATGCACACCCGGATAGTCCTCGTCTCTTCTACAGTCTCGCTACGCATGACTCACACCTCTCTACACCATGCACACGCACACGCACACACCCGATCGGAGAAATCGAGACAGCACAGGGATACACATACACATACACAATAACCCAACTAGGGCATAAGTAAGTTAGTTAACTAGGAATCGATCTACCGGAGCCGACTCGCTCGGCTCTCGGACACGACACCCACTTACCACTTCCCCTCGCATGTGCAATGGGAATCAACGGAACAATGGGAAGCATGCAATAATTAAAGTTGATTCATTTTTGTTGCTGTCGCGTGCCCAATGTACGACGTGAGGAGGTGACTATTGTACTCCTCTCTTCTTTGGTTCCCCTGGGACCGACCGACCGACCGACCGCCACGCTTGTGTGTCCCGTACGAGTGGGTTGTGCTGGACGGGGAACGGCGCGTTACCGTTGCAATGGGGCTGGCGTTGATCGAATTGGGTTGGGTTACATGCTTGACGTCGAGGGGGAGGGAGGTGGTGCTATGCTAACTTGGTAGTTCGGTGCTACTGCGGCTAGTCTAGATGGCGTGCATGGAGTGCCGTGAACGTGTTTCGCTTCGAGGTCTGCGTACGTACAGGGCTGGTCAAGCGAATGTTGGGTACTATGTGGCCCGACAGGAGAAGATACAGAACAACAACGAAATAGACAGACAGACAGAGAGAGAGAGAGAGAGAGAGAGAGAGAGAGAGAGAGGAAATAACGTTTAGATGCAAGTATCCAGCAGGCTAAAAGGAAATCAAGGACATGGATAAGAACAAGAACCAGAACAAATATCAGGATTCACGGGCCATTTAAACACCCACAGCCGGTTGTCTCGAATCAACAACCAAAAGCTTCGTGAATCTACATCTAACGAAACGCCCCATGATGCCGCTCTTCCAAATAACTCTCATGTTGATGCTGCTATCGTCCTTGGCTACTACCTCGTGCCCTGCGTGGCGAGGTCCTCCAATCGTTTGTATCGCCATTGAAACTGCGCCAACTGGTTCCTTTCGGCCGGTGTCATGTTACCGCCGTTCTTTCCCTCCCTCGAGTGCTGGTGCATCTCCCAGAGCCTCAACAATCGCGCTTGATGTTCCGAGATAGAGACGAGATTGGGATCTCGCGACGCCATGCGCTCTTCGGCCGTCGCATGGTAGGAGAGCTTGGCGCGGAAGAGCGCCATATCGATCTCGTCGTACCTGACTCCGCGCCCTTCGGGAATCCCAGCTTGCTGAGCGGCTTTCTGCGGCATGGCTGTGCTGGAATCACTTTGCAGAGGTAATAACGAGTGTGTTGGTAAAGATTATCGCAGACTCAGAGCCAGCAAAGGCGAGTGGTGCGTCTTTAGGAGTCCGCGTGGATGTCCAATGGGAACTATAGCAGAATGATACTATAAGCTTTCTCGTGAAGATATAAGCAAGACAGCTATAGGGTAGAATCTCAGAGCGGTTCCCTACTGGAGGCCGTGGCGCGCTGACCTTTATAGCTTGGTTTTTCGCCTTCCGTTGCAGCTTTTCTAGGGTATCCAGTGACAGCCACCAAGGTGATACCAACGATGCCATCATATGCACCTGTTGCCAATGACGCTGCGAAACAGAAAACAGTGACCGATCACCAAATGTCGCTATGAAAATTTTCACCGTATGTGCTGTCTTTTCCATCTGTTTCCGGCCCGTTTGTGTCGGCTACCTCGTGATGATCGCGGCAAGCCAATCCCCTGGCGAACGAGGGCTTCATTCGTTCCTTTTTTGGGATGGATTGTGGAACCCTCTGGATGACACAGGCGCAACCACTGTCGGTCTGGAGAGTGGGATGCCCGAGCCTTGCAGAACTTTCTTCCCTTTCTAATTTTGTCTGGAGTACTCTGTTGGTTCCAGCAGAGGTCGGTGAGTATCGAGGTACCAGACGCAGTCCAGGCCGCACTGACAACGGCAATCCTTAGACCCTGTTTCTGGTGTGGTGCTTGCATATGTAGTGACATGCAAACACACATGAACACTACTGACAGTTGACCGTGCCGCGACCGCACCCGAGGCCATGCGTCCCGTATTGTTACACCCAGGCAAGGACATCAAAGGCTGCCGAAGAGGGAGAAGATGCTCGCCCCTGAGAGGCGAAACCCTAAGCAACCGGCACTTTCCACAAATAGGTGATCAAAATGCACCCATCCATTATGACTCCATCTACCCCTTTGCCACGAAAGAGATTTTGAACGTTGCCAAGGGACTGCGCCGCTGTCGCCAACGGAATCGCAGAATTTTACCTGGGATACCCGCATCTTGGAAGGCAACTTCTTCGTCGCCTCTAGGGACTGTCTGACATCTTGTTTCCCCTAATAATCCCCGATTCGTGGCTCCTTCCGAGGGTATGCAAGTAGCCGCTGGGTGTGTTGTTTGTGTGACGCTCCGTGGGAATGACGGGCTTCAGAATCTGAGCGCAAACGCAAGGGTACATTATCGGTGCAGAGATGGAGTATCACCAATCCATTTTCCTTTTAAGTAAAAGCAGGGAGTACGGGCTTTAGCTGTATTGGGTCCGCTTGTCGAAAAAAAGGCGGCTAACGCTACTCGAATATCCCGACGCCGTTGGCCCCGATGGACCTGAGACCGGCTTCCCTTTCCCTGCACCCAGATGCATGGTTCATGCCCCCATCCGTGCCTGTTGATCATGCGGATCGGTGCTGCCAACGGGCTCCTTGCCGACATAGTGCAATAACATCTGGAAGTATATGAGGGCTAAAAACCAGGGAGCTTGCGATGCTTGGCCCTGTTGGCAATCATGTACATTTTTTGTTGCTCAATTAATGGTGACGTGCGGATGATCCTGGATGCTTGCCCAGATCGGACTGTCCAGACTGAACCCATGAACGTGATGCACATAAGAATGAGTGTGGCATGTGACTTTGTGAATGTGGCATATATGATGGTAGCCTGGGGTTAAGTTAGAGAAACGGTAGAGGCTCTGAAAGTGCTTGTTGAATACACAAGGTGAGGCCAGATCTGTGGTGTCACTGAAGAAGCTATGCCCAGATAAGAACTTTAAGTCGAAACTATCCCGTCAATCGGCGCTTGAATGATGGTATCGCTCCTCGAATTGTCTGACACCGGCTTCTGTAAGACATCTGCACCATGTTATTTAGCCTTTTGTTGTAGTCAGAAGCCTAGGCCTTTTCTCTGACTTTACTTCTGACCGTGCCGAGTAGTATGCGATTCACGCCTTTGGGATCATACGACCATGGCTGTTCATCCCGAATGATGATCAAGTAAGCCTGGACAGGCCTTGTGCCGTCGTGAAGGGAGAGTAGCAGCATCCGCGCCATACAGCCTATGCGTTGTGGCGCCCAATACTGCCAAGAGCGTCGTATTGTCGAAAGTAAAGAGGAGGTGGCCAGCAACACTGCGACACTGGTCTGGTCGCCTGCTCAACAAATGGCCGGGATGTGATTGTAGTAGAACAGAACAAAATTGCTGGCAAGCCATGAGTTGGCTGATCTCTGTCTCCAAAACCGGTAAATAAAACTACCTTCATGACTGTAAGGGAGACAGCATGCACTGCCGTGTCGCCGACAGCTACTGATCCGAAGGTATTGCATAGGACCCCCACGCCCCAATATATCCGGTACAATCACCGTAACCAGTGATCGTCAACAAGAAGTTGCCTTATCGGGGCTTCTGTTGCGTGCATTTGCAAGACCTTATAATCTTGCATATCTAGAGGACACTATAAAGCTGGAATGATTAGGCCTCGGGACCAAACGTTGTGGTCGGAGTATGAAAGAAGGTTGACGAGAACTGTAGGTAGCTCGTTTCGGGAACAGAATACGATCCTTAGCTATCATTGCAAAGAGCCGGTTCTAGCTTCCCGTGTCTGACATTGTAGTAGGGCGATTCGGGCGGCAGACCATATATCGAGTGTGACACAAATGAGTGTTGGAGCATGGCTTCCAGAATATAGAAGTAGAACCCGCTGGAAACTCTAAATGCCTGGCGAATTTCAAATATTGAAGCCACGAATGCCGTCATACGGACACTGCAGGCCACTTTCTGCTGCGATTGAACTGACCTATGCAAGGCCGATTGCATGGCATCGAGGAAGTGTAAGAACGAATGCCTTCATACCTACTATCAATCAGAACTCACCAAATTGACACTTTCAGGTACTTGTGATCACGACTGCCATCCAAGCCCAATTCTCCAAGCGGTTGACAGCCAGTAGGGCCGCGAAAGTAGACACATTGGCTATCCGATGTGTTGACTGCTGTTCGCTGCCAATTTCAGGTTCTTGATGCATAAGCATCATGACTACCAATAACTGCCCGACCGTCACTGCAGTTGGCTTGTTGCACCTTTGGGCTACAGGCGACAGGCAATGAAACATACGAAGACCAGTCCATGTGCAAAGAGAGCGGCCATTCCTGAAACATGGTGTCCTAGTCTTGCTTCTGTTTCTGGGGACATTATCGACGTGGCCTCCCTAGTAGTTTACATCTTGACCCAGTCGAACGCACGACACAGCAAGACTTGCCATGGAAGGAATCGCCTCCCAATATGAGACCAGAGCATTAAGGGACATGTCAGGGTCTCACAATGATGCAGTTGTCGGATTAAATCATTGACAATGGCTTTTCTGCGTTACACAGCTATCCATTCCCGCCAGGTGTAGTGGTGGCCCATGCTGCTGCTTTGTACCACGCACATGTTGAGATTCTCACCAGAGGAGCCCGCTCCTTACAGAGCTACTGCTGCCTTGGGGTATTTGATATGCTGTCTTCGGAGATAAGGCCTCGGACGAAGTGTTGGCCTGTAATATCCAGGGGGTTAACAATGTGGCAACTAGTTTCGACCTAGGTCTCGAACAGAAAAGCAATCATTAGCTGATCTGCAAGTCATGTTTCAGTCAACGCAAGGTCTCTGGCCAGGCGAAGTATCACCACCAGGGACTGACAGTGACTCAATTGAAAAAATATTGCTGAGTTTTCCTTGCAAATCAGAGGCTGTTAGTTTGCTTATGATTTCTGACGAGACTTAGGCTATCAGTCCTATGTTGATAATGTTCGCGAGTCGGAGAGCCGAAGAGAAGTGAAGCTCGAAGGATCGTGGAGGAAGTTTCTGAGGAGGAATCAAGAATGGAAGGAGCTACGACGGGCACATGATCGGTATTCCAACGTTCATCAAAGCCCTCCCATTGATCCGGCTTACAAATATGCCCTATTCTTGACCTCGGACATAAGCATTTAAGGACTGAGGCCTATGAATCAGCAGAAGCGGGAAATGAAACAAAGTGGACTTTCCATATTCACGTATTATGAAGCCATAAAGGTTTAGGGCTCTTGCGCATACAATCTGCGTATCACCGCCGGAATAGCTACGCTGATGAGAAGAAAGCTATACAACACAAGATGTTGGCCTTCCTAATTTCGCACTGCAATGTTCAACTTCGACCAGTGCCAATGACTGATCAAATGGCTCCGAGCTAGCTTGGGTTTCTTGACGATCGTGTACTCCAACTGTGGCAAAGCTGGCTTACTAGTCGCCATTACAGCCATTCGTCTGAGCGAATATTCACTTGGAGCTTCGCTCTTATCAACAGGTTGGATCGTGGAGACAATGCCGAGGCCAGCTGTTCATTATAGCGATTGTTGATGGTCCCAAAATCAAAGATCTGCCTAAAGCCACTCAGGAACGATAGAATATTATCACAGAAGATGTCTCGCTGTATGTTTGCACAACCAGGCCGTATTGAAGCCAACTGGGTCTGATACGTTTGCTGGTCCTGTTGCCGCTAGAGAGATTAGCCTGGTCAGATTGACGGGGGTCATCTGTCAGAGGAGATAGGATCGATCAGCTTAGGTTTTGTAAGAGAAACTGAAGCCCTACTCACGGAGATGTTGGTGATATTTCTGACATACCTAGTATAGCAGTGTTATGCTCTAATTTATCATAGCTGATGACACGCCTCTTACTTTCAAGGACATGATCAGCACACGGCTGATGGCCGAAAGCTCCACAGAGAAACTGTCATTTGAACCAGTTCGAGTAGTCAATATTGGCGGTCAGCTCGATAAAAATGAAAAAGGCCATGTTGCTTGTCCGCGACAGAAAGTACCTGTTTAGTCTTATCATGCGTCCACCCCGCATACATGCCTATTTTGGTAAAGGGTGAACTACTAGTTGCTAGTCTCCAGCTGAACATAAATAAGCGCCTGTCCCTCTCCAATATCCAGAAAATCATACCATCTTACGAACAGTCCCA